TGGTTTTGTACATTCAGATAGTTGTCAGGTATTTCGAATACGAGACGGCTCTTTTACTTTTCAAATTAACTTTCTCCATGTCCGGTATTTGAATTGCTAGATATGAGGGCAACTTAGGAAAACAAAAAAGGCGCACAAGGAGGGGGGTGGTACTTGTAACACCTCCCATTTGATTATGGACCCTCCTAAAAGTGTTCATACGTAATTTGCTCATAATTGAAAGATTTTGATATGTGTCTAGTTGTAAGCAATTCTATTAGGATTGGTACAACATTGAACCTATTAAGGTTGTGGTCCCGTCAAAGCTTGTCCAACCACTTGTTGAACTTGTTAGATCAAATTTAAAAAAAAAGGATAGAAACTTTGATATAAATAGCTTACAAATATAAATGTATTAAAAAATTGCCCAACTTCCTTTAGCTAGTCGAAATTGTTAAAACTGGCTAATCTAACCACCCAACACCGGTTAAGCATTAGGTTTGATTGGTTTTACTTTGGCCCAGACTGACTACGACATTGGTTGGTAATGTGACAAGTCACACCAATGATCTGATCCGGTCTTGATAACTATGAATGTAAGGCTTCATTTTATGAATGAAAAAGAAATAAGTTAACGCTCACAAAAATAAAAAACAAGGAAACAATGCACATATACCAGTACTAATGGGTACCATACATGCATAATAAATAGTGTGCAGTTAGCATACGGATGCATCTGTAGGTGTAGAGGTAAAGTGCACCTTCAAATTTTATCATGGTATATAATTTTGATGTAAAATGTTCTTAGGATTTTTCAAAATCTATTTTTATATCTTTATAAAGTTTTAAATTTAAAAAATGGTTAAAATTAAGTAGATCTATAAACAAATGACAATATTGAAAATGGACGGTGTAGATAATATGTTGTGAAATACACTATTTCTGAGACTTAAAATCTTTTTATTTTTTATGATCATACATCTTACTGTCAATATGATCAATCAAAGGGCTTTTCAACATTAAAACTACCTTTTCCAATGGATTTTTGAGGTACATATGTAGTTCTACATATAAGGTTGCAACCTTATATAATCTTTTTCCTAATAAATACGAGGGAAAAGTTTTAGTTGGAAGCAACAAATATAAACCCTTAGGGACCATTGGGGTACCTGGAGCCTAGAATTTGTCTATCCTTGGGATAGGGATGTCTGTTGTCTGGATAGCACATGATAAGAAACATGAAATATTCATGTCCATTGTTTGGATTGTCTGGAAGATGTGAATCCATGAAAATTCAATTGCAGTTTTTGTATTATTATCCTACATTTAATATTATACTAACCTTTAGTTAGCATTGACAATGTGTTGTAACCTCCATGTATAAAAGATAAATGGTCTCTTTCGTGACCTCCTGGTATAAAAGATAAATGGTCTCTTTCTAGACAAATTCCCAATTATTAAGCTTTAGCTATATTGATAATGTGTTGTTGAATCCTTGCCCTTACAACGAAGCCTAGTGGCATGGTGCAATTATATATACGCGCCCACCCTAACCAATTAAAGCAAAGTGTACTTCCTAAAACGGCTAGGAGATGTAGTTCCACTAAAAAAAATTTATGATGGCAAGGAAAAATTTGTTTCCACACTTAATTATTAAATTTAAAAGCTTCAAAAATAATGTTGATCATGTCAATCTAAAAATGCTTGAAAATCTTGAAAATGGATGGTCTATGTAATATATGAGTAATGATCCTATGAGAACCTCCCACACCTATGTTTGTAGGACCCCAAAGGATCATCATGATATTTGATACAGATCTCTAGAAAAGTTATCACATGGGTGTGGGACTTGATTTTTTTAGAGATCTGTACCAAATTTAATGGTAATCGTTTAGGTTCCAACACACATGGGTATGAGAGGGTCTCATAAAGTCATTTCCCATAATATATTACAAAGCTTTTCCAGTGTTAGAACAACAATTACTTCTATATAAAAAGTTGACGCTTTATATGAACTTCTTCCAAACAAAGAGAGAGGACGAACGACACAACGAAATAAGACAGGAAGATAGAAATGACCATTATATTATTTAAGACCGCAGTCGTGTACGATAGGAAAAATCATTAATCGATACTACATAGATTCGAACACTAGAGATAGATTCGGACACTGGAGAAAGACTCGTAATTGATTCACAGGGGAAAGTGGGCTAATCTCTAATCTTCTAGTCACTTATTTGCAGAACATGCTTGTCCAACTTCATGTAATTGTTGAGACTCATAGTGATGAGATACTCTCCCCACTTGAATGGCCTATACTTGGGGGGATCTTCCTCATGAACCAATTCTTCAAGGGGCTCCACAATTGCATGATAGGATGGTGTAAACAAAGTGATAAAGGAGAACCTCTCCTTTTGGGAGTTCACCAGCACCGTATGCAACAAGCCGTTATACTGGTCATTTGTCCAAACCTGCAAAAATTTTCGCACACCACAGCCATTTGCTCATAAGAATATATATATATATATATAGGCAAGCAGCTTAGCCACCGATCCTCATGTAACCACCGATCCTAATGTAAAGGCCAGAGAACCCATCAATGCACTTTTGAGTTTTGTTCTACGAAGACTGTGCAAGAAAACCTCAGAGGTCATAGAATCATTTTTTCTGAGGGTTGCGTTTGTTTATCCGAAAGGTCCCAACACCTTGGAAAAATATTTTAACGGAAACGTGCATTCTCATCGACCTGGGAAATCATCATACACCCTTTGGGAGTGAGAAGCCCCTAGCAGCGCTAGGCCTTTTGGGATGAGGCCCCCCAAAACACGGTTAATTTTTTGCTGGTAATCGACGATTCGAGTGAGAAGCTGCTTTTTTAGGAACAGAATAGTTGCAAAATCTATCTTACAAATAGTAGCAGAAGATGGGAAAATGCTTTATCAGCAACGATGTGAAACTCTGCTGTCCCAGAAAATAAACATGGGAAAGCAGCAATCATCCAAGATAGACTTTCCTCACAAAGTTCTTTCCCACAACACAAACCTGCCGAAAAAGAATGAAATAAACTCCAAGTTTAGGAAAAACAAGTGGGTGAATTATAGGGCTGAGAATGGGTTGGATCGGGTCCAAATCCACTGAGATCCTGATTTGGATAG